CTTTATCTTTTACCCAAAATAATAATATAGTTACACTTTTTTAGCAATAATAGCAACATACTTGCATAAATTTAAATAATTTAATGATAATAGCAATATGTAGCAAATAAAGGGTAAAGTAAATTTCCTATTTTGGTCAAAAGAGTAAAATGGGAACCAACCTACAAATGAAGATCTAAATCGGATGTATTTAGAGTTAATTCTTATAACATCATACATACATACTTGTTTATCTTTGGATCATCTGTGACTTTCTATTCTGTTGATTTTTTGAAAAATAAAAATATAAATTAGAAGGTATATGTGTTTGATTCGAATAAGGTCATTTCACTGCGTTAAACCAAAGAAAGTCTTTCGTGGTGACTGTTAGAGGAAAAGGGATCAACCATCACAAACCGTAGAGAGTGTGACATTATTATGAATTGATGAAGATGATATTCACAAGATCTGTAGTCCAATTGTGGTGTATACTAGGAACACTAATACTGAGAAAACTACTAGGAACTCCACCTCCAGATTAGACTCCATATCACCAAGGTCTTGTAGAAACTTTGTAATTATTCTAATTAGCATTATTATAGTTCACTGTGTTTATATAGTCTAGGAACTATTATTGTCATCATGTTTTTATGTTAGATCTGTATTTGTCTTCTTTTCATTTCAAGGATGTAAATAGGCAGATTTTTTGTTGATAAAAAACTATTTCCACCATATAGCTTATAATCCGTGTTCATTATAATCATTAAGTAATAAAGAATTGAAGTCTATAGATCCTAACAAACTATAGATTATGCTTATACCGATTTTATACCATAGTTAAAATTAAAAATCAAAATCAGAGTGTTACCTTTTCATCTATAATCGAAATTGACAAAAGAGAATAAACAAGATCAACCATATCACACAATAACATAATTCACATATATCACAAGTGATGAAGCCTTTTATTATTAAAATGTCATGGATGGATTCCAAGCTCCACCAGGAGAAAGAGAAGTAGAGATTAGTCTTTGTCACCAAGGAGTTAACTGAGTTGAATCCATAAAACCATTGTGTCCTCAAGATCAGAATAAGGTCATTTGAGGTTTTATCAAATTATGAGTCAGTAGATGAAAACACGACTTACTACATTGATAGTGGCTCTTTGCATCCATAACAATGAGTGAAGGAGAAAGAGGGTATCCTCAAGAGGAAAAGGACACGATGCCACTCTTTTTCTCATTACCAAGAGCATTGTGACCCTTCAAGACAACTCCAGTCCTTACAAATTCTGAAGCAATAAGTTAAAAATAAATCTTAGATAGGCTTGAAAGAAAATACATGTAAATACTAAATGTAAGATTTTGCATTCATAAAAAAGAAGCAATTGTTTTTTTTTCATAAGACTGAAAATAGTTAATTAACGATTAAACCACAAAAAGCATGCAATGATCTGTATTTAATTTGTTTAAACTCTTTCATCCAATGCCTTGGTGAAGATGTCATCTAGCTGATCAGTAGATGGAATATAGAATAAATCAACTTTTCCCTTGTGAACTATGTCCATGATGAAATGATGATAGTGTCGATGTGATTGGTCTTGGAATGTTGTACTGAATTTTGTATCATCTGAATAGCAATGGTGTTGTCACAGTAGATGGGTATCTTCGAGAAGTTTAGAACATAATCTAAGAGCTAATTCTGAATCCAAAGAATCTAAGCACAACATCTTCCGGTGTCAACATATTTAGCCTTAGCAGTGGAATAAGCCATTGATGCCTTCTTTTTGTTGGACCAGATTACCAATCAATTTTCAAGCATTTTAGCTCCTCCTAAAGTGATTTTACGGTCAATGCCACATCCTCCATGATCGAAATCAGTGTATCCCACTAGCTTGAACTCAGAGTCATGAGGATACCATAACCCAAGGTTGGGTGTATGTTTTAAGTATCTGAAGATCTTTTTGACAACGTGAAACTGAGATTCCTAAGGACTAGCTTCATATCAAGCACACAATATGGTGACAAACATCATATCATGGAGAGTAGCTGTAAGATAGAGTAGATGACATATCATTCCTTGAAATAGAGTTGCATTTACATTAGTGCCACTTGGATTAACACCAATAGACGTTAATGAAAAAATCGAAGTTTTTGCTTGTTTGCAATCAGAGAAACCATACTTCTTCAGCATATCTGCAATGCATTTAGATTGAAAAACAAAAATACCATCATTTAGTTGTTTGACCTGCAAACCGAAAAAGAAAGTTAGTCCACCCATAATGCTTTTCTAAAATTTCTTAGCCATGACCTCTGCAAATTCTCTACTTAACTTTCTCATGATGAGAATGTTGGAGAGAAGGATCAAGAGAAGATAATTAAATAACACATTTAGTAATGTCATTAGAATCAGTAGACAAGTGAGTAGTAATTAAGGTTCACTTTATAAAGTAAGAACTCACAAATCTACTTTTAAAGTTTTCTTTTAAGTAGTTAGGTTTATAAAAGGTTTTTTTTAGTTTCGAACTTGGTTAAAGAAACGACACCTTCTATATCACCTCTAAGAATTTTCTTACACTAATCTGAAATCTGATACGCTGATGCGTCATCCTATTCTGACTTAAGGTCATCAGCAATGTAAGGCGAATCAGGGATAAGGATCCCAACGTTGTCATGTGAAGTGTCAGTGTGAGATTCAACAACTTGAGCCATGAGACACTTAGCTTGATCATTTTAAGAGCTTTACTTTTCAAAAGTAGATGATAGAATGGTCATCATCTCATGAGCAATTGAGCAGTTTTGGACCAAACAATTGACAAAAAAGGAAGTGAGTTTCCAATAGCAATTCTAGCCTTTACATCAAGATTCAGCATCCTTTTCTCTTCCTTTTTATATGAGATAATAGATTTCCCTCTCTGCTTATGGCCAGATGCACCATTATTGGATGATTAATCCATAACAGCAATAGTACCTTTCTTGAGGATGTCGAGCATATCGAAATCCATGAATTCTTGAACTTTCATGGCCTTTGATTTGCAATCAGAGAAGTTGTATTTGTTTAAAGGAGGGATCTTGTTACAGATATATGAATTTGGAATGAAAGAACTCGATGTGATTACATGAGTGTATCAAAACCCTGCTCTGATACAAATTGAAGGTTTGTGATGATCGGATACACTTCAAGTATGAATAAGAAATGAAAAACTAATCTAAGAAAAATAATCATCAGAAAGTAAATAACACAAAAGTTCTCCAAGTTGTTCCTTTCATAAAGAACAGAGGTTTTGTATTCACAAAGAAGACGGGTTTGTCACGAAGATGAATGACACAGAACCAGAATCACAAAACTACCACTACCACACAATATGGTTTGCCCTAATGTTGTCTATATACTAATCTATACATGTATATCCTATGGTTAATGGGATTATATCTGATCTATACTAAGAACCGACTATAGCATAAAGATATTGGATCTGTGATCTATTATATATTTATCTATATCAGTAACTAATATATAAATATTACAAAAATATCTATACTAAGTGCTGGCACTCGTGACGTTGATACACTAGCATTGTCGATACACAGATGTTGACACTGATAGATCAACATGCCATGCGTTTGACTCATCCGATCATAAGGTGTGACCATATAATTAGAATGATTGGGTATGGTTAGACCTCCTTTGATTTTTATAAATATCAAGTTTGGAATCCGTCTGTAATATGTCAAAAGATAAGAACGTTTCTCTCTATTACTTTATGTTTGAATCCATATTTAATGTTTTTGGTTGTGTTTCAGTTATGTTTTCTTTATAAACGAAGGTAGCATGGTAGATATTTTGAAAAAAGGTAGTAACTAATGTCGTTTCAATTCCAAGGATCTGCTAAATTTGGTCGTTATGACTTTTCTTAAAAAGCAACATGTTTTCTTTTTGAATGTTTCCTTGTTAGACTAATTCACCTATTTTATTTATTATTTTTGTCTTGTACCAACAAATTGAAAATATGAAACTTTTGACAACTTCTTTTGCTAGAAGCATATTGTTGTATGTTCCTAAATCTCTCTAAGAATCTCATCAATGAGACCATCTGTTGAGATGACATTGAGTCACCCACTCACCCTGAATCTTATGCACTGACATATCTTTTAGTGTGAGATTTCCTAGTCCTGATAAAAAATATTATAGGGCTTGGCTGCTTACTTTATGATTAATCATTCATCTAGACTTTTTCCCTAGAATCATGCTTTCCATATACATTAAGTCTCATGTTCTGCTAAAACATCGAGCATTACGTAGTGGCTTATATTGATTGTATTGTCATCAGCATAGGATAGAGCTTGAGGATTCACTGTATAATGTCATACACTAATAGTGTTGATGGTTTGACTATGTATTGTAGTCTATTATACGCACCAACCCCTTCTCACCCTATTTTTCTTCTTAATAGTTTTATGATTTAGCATAAGATACTGGATGCTACGGAGAACTTGAAATATCTATGATGATGGGTATATCATGTTCAACAATATATTACATGTACCTACCCACTTTTTCCCTTGTATTTCTAATCAAATAAGTTCATCATGCAGTGTATAAAACCATTCACTGATGAGACTTCGTAATATTATGTCAATGATCTATAGTATCACAAGATACTATCAGGAGACATCATTAACCAATCCAAAACTCCCCCACAACTCATGATACACTAATAGATTTCACTGTAACATGTGACACACTGATACCTTGTGTTGTAATATGTGATATGCTTTAACTCCTCAATAGTAACTTTTTGATGAGGATAATAATGCAAATTGTTACCTTGGGATTTAAGATTTTTACGACACCTTCTCTCCCATAATGATTATGTGAAAAGGTGGGATTTTTGGATTTAAAATGGGGTTTTCTCTCTCCTAAGTAACTACATTCTCTCAAGAGAATCCTTTCAAAGAAATCCTCTGTTCATATTCTTCAAATCTCTAAAGTTCCTTTCAATTTCTTCTCAGACCTGATCAATGGATGTTTTCGTATTCGCTTTGATTCCTACTACAAACTTTCAAAAGGCACCAAATACCCCATATACCCCCATCATCATTCAAGATAACAACGTTGCATTTTTAGATGTCATCCCACATCAACACCAAAATTTAGGAATTGAAGACGTAATTGAATATTTCAAGTGTTGCCCTCTTCACTATGCTCTCAACGATGTTCCAAAACCCTTCTTCCAAAAGCAAGTATGTGAGTTCTATTACTCATGCACTTTTGATGCAAATGCCCAAATCATCTCTAGAACTGTTGAAGATGATCATTCAAGGATTGAGATTTGTTCAATGCTTACTCGTTAAGTTCTTCGTCTTCCTTTCTCAGAAGCATATGATGAGACTACTTCTACAGCAATATGAAAATCAATTTTTCCACGAATTCAGTATGATATATCTCTTCAGGGTAAACGAGACCTTGAAAAATATGTTCTTTGTCAATGCCTCAATGTGGGCTGGAAGTATGTGATGGGGGTCATAGGGAAATGTCTTCGGCTCAAAATTGGTAGCTTGGACTAGTTGAATTTGTTTGAGTTAATAATTTTATATTTCATCGCTCGTGACAAGAACCTAGATTTTGCACAATTATTCTTCAATTAGATAGTGAAGTGTATTAGCAGTCATAAGCGTCCAACATATGTGCCATATGAACGCCAGATTACTCTTTTTTGGCTCATGATGGTATGGGTTATAACATCAATCACGGGGCATCAATTCTAGCTCTGATTCTTTCCTTAAAACTAATAAATGTAGGACATGAATAAGGAGATATTCACTTATTCCAACAGATGATTATTTAGACAAAGCATCCATATAGTTATAAGGATGTAGAAGATGAAGAAGGTGCGGATGAAGAATCCAATAATTCTTCCAACTAGTGTAAAGATGAAGAAGAAGATAGCGATAAATCCTCCAGCCACCTAAGTGGCACTTCTTCTTAAAATAGTGTTGATACTGAAGTGATTCCTATACCCGATAAAGAAATGGATGTTAATGCTCCTTCACCTATTCAGTTTGCTTTTTGGTGAGAGTGAAGATGAAGTTGAAGATGTCAGTGCCTCTCCTCCAAGACCAAATAAGCACATTCGCTTTCCCTCCTCTTCTATAACTCCCTATCCTTCAACTGTAGCCATCTTACAGTGTGAATCAACTCCTCCACAAGATTGTCAATCTATTTCACTGTCATCTCCAATTTCATAGTCTGGTTCGACTCCTCCTTAAACGGATAAAACTATTATCCTTCATATTGGTGTTACTCCTCCATGATCATCTCCACTTTATGCTAATCACACTCTTCCATATACATCCCCTTGAAGTTGTTGCTACTTTTCTGGGGGGGGGGGGGGGGGTCCAGCTCTTTTGAGTTTCAGTCAACCATGCTCTCCAAGCTTACAATGTTGGTAACCTTGACAGATGCATTGGGGCAACTCCTGAGCAAGATTGAAGTTGATATGGCTGGCATCAAGCGCATCCTCTCTATGGTAGTTGACATTGAAGATAATGATGATTGTCCCTCCAGCTCTCATCATGGTGATCAACCTCCACCACCACCTTTTGTACATACTGGTAACAATCCTCCAACTCCATTTCAACCACCCCCTTCAAATCCTCAACCTCCAATTCCTCTACACCCCTCAACACTCCTTGAATGTCTCCTTTACGATCTCCTTCACATGTTGATGATGCCAAAAGTAGGAGAATGAGAAAGTAGTAGTAGTATGTGTTGACCATTCTGATGATAATGATGATTAGTCTGACACTGATGATGAAGAAGAGTTTCTAGATATGGACTTTATGCCATGAGTTGTTGCTCTTAACATTATATATTAAGAAGGTATTCCAAAGGTGGAGATTCCTCAAGGCATTGATAGTGATGTTGAGTCGGATGATGATTAGCTCATCACAAGGAAAAGGAAGACGAACACCTCCTCAAAGGGGAGTTCATAATATTGATGATGAAGGCTCATGTGCTCCTCCTAGCAAGAAGAGGATGTTCATAGTCAGAATACAATCATTGGTCAGGGACTGGAGATTGCCACATAAGGAGGTCCGAAAAATTCTCACTGAGCATAATGCCCCTAATCAAAAGGAGAATGTTGAACTTCATTCCTCTAAGCTTGTGTTAAAATTTTTCTCTGTTGAAGAAGGAATCAATGAACAATGTTCAAACCTCCAGCATTTTATCAATATCGTTGCTAAACAAAAAGGATTTATAAGTAAATGATCGTATTGACCTGAAGAAATTCGAGAACATTCAAGTTCGATGAATTAAACATGATCCAATCATTAAGGTTAGGTGTGCTAAATTCAAGAATTAAACACTAAAGGTTCATCTGACCAGAAAGAAGGCTGAGTATGAATATACTAAAATTGTGTTTGCTTGTGAATTGGTCAAGTATGGCTACATCAAGTGGACTTAGATTCAAGAGTTAATTTCTAAGCATAAAACCATTCATGCTTAGGAGTTGAAGTTGGCACTGCAACAAATGATCAAAAGAGTAAAAAAAACAGCTGAATTTATTGCCTTCAGCTCAACCTTCTCGACCTTCTACTTTAGTGCCACTACAAAAACAAAGGCAATCCAAATATGTCGAGTTCTTGTTGTCTGTTGGCACTATCTACATCAATAACAGGCTGCTGTGTTTGTAGAACCTATACAACATTTGTTCATTCGAGAGCCTAAATATTGCATCTTCTATTTGTAACACTGTAAATTTTCAAACTAAAATTTCATTTAAAATCACATTAATCTCATTAACACAACCACAAAATCTCCCAAAAATATCAAGTTATCAGAAACCCATGTTCATAAAATTGTTTAAAACACAATCCAAGATCCTCCAAAACATATCTCCAACTTGTGTGTGTACAATCAAGCCGGTGCCTACCTGTGATCCTAAGAAGTACCTAAAACACATAACACATAACACGGTAAGCATGAAGCTTAGTGACTTCCCCAAAATACCACACATATCTCATTAGCCTCTCTTGGATATGCTCAAATAAGACCCTCCGGTCACTGTGTCTCAGTGGGACCCTCCAGTCTCATAACTCGGGTCGACCCTCCATGGTCCCCATGATCCCTGTCTTGACTCGGGTGAACCCTCCTATTACACAAAAATTACCATCCTAGGTAAGTATAGTGAGAAGAGTCACCTTGTAAGCAAGCAAACAAATATACTTGTACATGAATATCGAATTAGCCTCCGCATAACACATAGGATAATTATTTCTAATTAAAAATTAAATAACAACTCTAAGTAACTAAGTTATTCATTTTCAACCTCTTGGAATGGGAAAAAGACCATTTTACCCCTCCATGGTCCCCATAATCCCAGTCTTGACCAAACCCTAAAATCAATAGAATTCAACACTCGAGTCAACAATCCATGTTGACCAGACTCACCGAGTGCATCTATGTGACTCGCATAGTCCCCTTGTTTCTTCAAAACTATCGTGAAAACCCAACTTAACTCGTCGAGTGATCTCATCAATTCGCTGAGTTACCCATGTCCAGACTCATCAGGGAAAACCCTAGCCGACTCGTCGAGTCAGCTCATTGACTCGGCAAGTCCATTCAATCTATATTCTCATTCAAATCTTTTAAGGCAGATCAACAACTCCACATTCTAGATCTAGCTTCCCAAGGCTCGGATTTCATGTAAAGCTTCGAGCTTTTACGTTCATGCATGGCATATTGGCTCATAATGCCAATACAAATTCCAATAAGGTTTAGATGCACAAAATCTTCTCTCTAGCTCAATAAAGATCTAACCTTTGGGCTCTCAAGTCCTCCTATAGTCCAGATCTAAGATTTCAACCTCATGATATGCTCAAATAACTCATTATCACAAGATAGATGGGAAAAAAAACCCTAAAAACCTCCCTAAACTAAGATCTCACAAAGGAAAGGTCATGATAGAAGCTTTTTATCTTTGCATTGAAGCTAGTCACTAAAGAACTCTGGATCTACAGCTCCTCCATGGTCAAACACGCCAAGCTCTCCAAATCTCCTTCCAAAGATGCACAAAACCACTCAATTTAGCCTCTCTCTCTCTCTCTCTCTCTCTCTTTCTCTCTCTCTCTCTCTCTCTCTCTTACAAGTCAATATGATTTATTAGGGTTTCACACAGGGGAGTTGGATGGTTGGTGATGTGGAAATGAGGGCTTAAGGCCCTTTAAATAGGACACAAACCCGGATGATTAGGGTTTCCACTCACAGCGCCAACTCGCTGAGTTGGTCTCTCCGACTCGTCTAGTTGGTTATAAAACGCATGTGGTTCATTCGTTTCCACTCAAAAAGTTGGGGCACCCACTCGTCGAGTTGCTCAGTTTAATCATAAATATAATATATAAATACTATACCTGGGATTCGGGATGTTACAATTCTCCCCCAATAGAATCAGACATCGCCCTCGATGTCATGCTCCGGAAATAACTTTGGATACTGCTTTCGCATCTCGTACTCCGGCTCCCAACTCCACTAGGATCCTTTTCGATGTTGCCACTAGCCCTGAAACAGGGGTACCTCTTTATTCCACAAGACTTTCACCTTCCGATCCAAGATCACTATCGTCCTCTCTATGTAATTCAGGATCGCATCTACCTGAATATCCTCTAATGGTACCACTTCCGTCTCGTCGACTACACACTTCCTCAACCGAGACACGTGGAAGGTATTGTGGATCTGGCACAACTTTGCAGGTAGTTCTAACCGGTAAGCTAACTTACGCACTCTTGCAGTCACTCTGAAAAGACCATTGTATCTACGGCCTAACTTGCCCCGTTTCCTGAATCGGATCAGCCCTTTCCATGGGGATACCTTCAGGAGGATAAAATCTCCGACCTGGAACTCAAGATCGGATCATCGCCGGTCTGCGTAACTCTTCTGGTGACTCTGGGCTGTCAGTAACCTCTGTCTGACCTACTGAATCTACTCAGTTGTCTTTAGCACTATCTCAGCACCACCCATCACTCGTTGCCCTATCTCTCCCCAACAGATGGGAGTCCAACACTTCCTCGCATATAAGAGCTCGAAGGGAGGCATATCAATACTGGAATGGTGGATATTGTTGTAAGAAAACTCAGCAAAGGGAAAATAGTTGTCCCAACTTCCTCCGAAGACCATAACACATGCACGTAGCATGTCCTTAAGTGTCTGAATCGTCTGCTGTCACACCCCGTAAACCGAAGGCGGAAACATTTCCGGGGTTGACTCCACGTTGAGTATCAAATCCAATGCACATAGTAAGTAAAGTAAAGCAACCATTACATTACATAAGAAAAGTTTTACAGTTGTTTCAAAAGTAAAGTTTGTACAGTTGTGATACATAGTATATATAAACAAAATGAAACGGGTCTTCATGTACTCCGTCTTCTGATCAAAAGGGATCTTCGGGTACCTGTTCTAACGCTGACCTGAGAACACAAGCGGTTTAAAAATCAGCATGACGCTGGTGAGTTCATAAGCGGTTTTTGTTTGTGAAAATCTTTCAAGTTTCCTTTCTATTTCTGAAATGTTACGTATACCAAGAAAATCCCATATTTTCTTAAAAGTTGATTGTTGTTTCACAAATGTAAAGTATAGTAAGTTTGTACACTGAAAACATGTCTGCTCATGTGAAAATGTATAGTTTGGTTATCCGACTTGTTAAACTATTCTGTTTACTTATCATGTATTCCCATGAAAGTCCCATACTTTCCTTATTGTATATTACCAATTGTAAAAGATGTAATGTTATCCAGTTTGTTACTCTTTCTAGTTAGGTAAGTGTTACCCAGGAAAGCCCCATGCTTTCCTGCTTGTTGGTTTTCAATGTGAACGATGTAAAAGATGTAAAAGATGTAAACGTGGTTAGATTCCATGTTTTCCCCCAAGAAAGTCCCATACTTTCCTGAATGTTAATTACCGTACATGAAAGATGTAAAAGATGTAAAAGATGTATACAGTGGTTCATTATTACTATAAGTAAATCTCTGTTATCCCAATTGCGAGTTCCATAACCATACGATAGACTAAAACCTGTGGCAATAAGTAGTCCACATACTTATGACTTTCGTCACCCTTGAACCATTTCGGTTCGGCTGTAGCTAGCAGCCAGGTGTGGGGTAGTCAGCCCCATATAGATCTATACACTCAAGTCACGCTCTCTAAATACCAGAGATTCTGGTTATGGGTGTAGTCCTCCACTCGCGTATCTCTGTGGAGTGTTCACCGAGGACATGTCTCCAATCATACAGGATTAACAAATTTACTAGTAATAATATGATAGTCCTCTACTCGCGTATATGTGTGGAGTGTTACCGAGGACAAAACAGTGTACAGGTATTATATTCAAATGTCTAATATCATGCTTTTAATTGATAAAATGTGGAAAACCATTTGTGATATATATGTAAAACATAACAGTTTAAAGACCTATTTCACAAATATATGTTACGTGATCTGCATGTTCAAATGGTTATCAGTTGTGGTAATCAGTATTAAAAGCATATGGAATATGAAACACACATTTGAAAACATGTTTTGAGTACAAGAATTCCCTTGTACTTTGCTTGTGTTCCCCCCTGAAAACAGTGAAAACAGTGAAAAAGGGTAGGGGTATGAACTCACCGGACTCGGAAATGTGTCGGTTTTGGATACTAGACGTTGGTTCGTGGTTTGATTACTCGTGATGTCCCTATGCAAAATGAAATAATGTCCATATATATACAATTAGGGATACATTCACTAATCATATGGAACATTACACTCCAACGAGGTTAAACACCTCAAGACGAGCGTTTGGAGTGACCTGGGTGACATCTTCGGACGTGTAATGGCACTAGAGACTTGGGACTTGAGTTTACTCTCCAAGAGTAAACATTTCAAGGAGTTTACAGCCACATAACACACCCACACATGAGTTTACGGCCGTAAACTCATGTTGGTGTGATTTTGAGTGTTTAATGGCTTAAATGGACGTGGGGATTGTTGGAATGGATTTCTAAAATGCCTTGGAATGGATTGAATGGAATTATATCACTTAAAGGGAGTTTACGCCCACACACTTGGATTTTACGGCCGTAAAGTCACCCATGGCCAAGAAAAATTGTTTTAAGCTACAAAGGAGAATCACATATGATTCTAGTTAATTTTCCAAGCCTTGTTATGAATTTAGAACACCATAAAACATACTTTTAGGAGTTTACGGCCTAGAGGCATGTTCTATGACCGTACTCCTA